TTTGTTTACAAATGTTGTTTCTTTATTATACCGTACAAGGCCATTCTTTAAACGTAAGAAAAGGTACAATCTGCTTGCACAGAACGACATATGGATGTGATTGATGGGGGAATTTTATATTATTGAGAAATTATAAGCTCTTACATTTTTTTTTATTAAATTAAAGGGGGGGGGGGGGTATCGATCCACACTTCAGGCGCCTGTGGTATAATAGGAACAATAACTGAAAAAATAAAGATGAAATGAAAGCAAAAATTCAACATAAAATGAAAAAAAACATATATATGTAACGGGAAATCCCGGCATGAAATTGATGAAATAAGTCGAACATTTAGTCTTTTAACATTATCTATTCATCATTTCAGATATCACAATATAACTGGTTATTTCTGTCTCTGTCCAGGAATTAAATGTCAGGAAATATAATAATTACAATACTGTAGATTTCAATAAATTCAGTTATTCAACAGAAAAACTTCTGCATGTTTATATGACTATGAAATTTAAATCTGAGTAATATTCACCCTGGACAATGTAAAACTTCTTGACCAATGGAATGCAAGTGTACAACCAATGAATGAGTGTAGGTATGATATAAAGAGATGGGTGGTATAACTTAATACTTTATTAGTAATAGAAAGACTTTAGATTTTATTTATTTATTTAACTATTTTGAATTTATTTTATTTATTTATCATTCATTAAATTATTTATTAAAATTATACATCTACTACAGACTCTCCCCATTAGAAAATGACGCCCCCGTCATTTCCCTAATGGGACATTACCTGGTAATATGCAGCAACATATATATGTACTAAACACTGCAATCACTTCTCACTGCATCTGCAATATATACAAATAAAATCAAATTAATTGTTCTTTAAAATATCAAGCATTGTGCGAACAATTTCATCTTCATATTTCCTCATTTCCTGGGACTTCTTCAAGTCATGTAGAAATTCACATTTCTTCATCCATTCTAGTGAATGTTGTTGGGTAAAAACATATTCCTGGTTGTTCATCCAGGCAGGTTTTCTCCTCTCCCTTGTACTTCTTCTTAGTATCTGTCTATCCTCCTCTGACATCATACTTTCGTCTACATTTCCTGGGACTTCTTCAAGTCATGTAGAAATTCACATTTCTTCATCCATTCTAGTGAATGTTGTTGGGTAAAAACATATTCCTGGTTGTTCATCCAGGCAGGTTTTCTCCTCTCCCTTGTACTTCTTCTTAGTATCTGTCTATCCTCCTCTGACATCATACTTTCGTCTGCTGCTGTCCTTCTCTAGGAATTTCTTCTTCAGCATCTTGCTGCTGAAGCTATTCCCGTGGAATCTCTGTATTAGGTTCCTATTTCCTCTCGATCTTTACCCTCAACATTACCTGCACCATGATGCTTCTCTTCTTCTGTCTGGTTCTGTATAACATCTCTTTGTACCGGTACATATACTACTTCCATTTCCTCGTCTGAACTCCTTTCCTCATCTCTCTGGGATATATCTTCATGAATATCCTCCTTCTCTTTACCCCTATTGTATTGCTCTGGTTCTAGGCCTAGGTTTAGGTTTTGGAATTTCCTTTACCTTCTCAAGTTCTTCATGAGTTTTGCAATTGTTCAGCTGACTAATTGGGAAAAGTAGATTTCTATGTAGTGTTCTTATTTTACCCTTGGTTGTTTCTTTTTGGATCTGAAATACTTGAATGTTTGGATCTTGTTGGTCTAACACTTTATTAGGTTCTTCTTCCCATTTATCGGAAATTTTATGTTTCCCATCAAAAGATACAATTTTAACTAACACTCTGTTACCTGTCTGTATTTCTGCTCCTCTTACTCTCTGATCATACCCTCCTTTCTGTTTCTCTTAAGCTCTCTTTGTATTCTTGTTGACTAATTCATATGCTGCTTTCATATTCTCTTTCGGGTCATTGATGTATTTTGAAGTTGACTTCCATTCTGATTTCTTGATTCCAAATCCCTCATCTATAGGCAATCTAGGATTTCTGCCGAACATCAGAAAATAAGGTGATATTCCGGTTGACTCATTTCTAGTACAATTATAGGCATGTACAAGGGGACTGATGTATAATTTCCAATTCTGTTTTTGTGATGGTTTCAATGTGTCTAATATATCAAGTAGAGTCCTGTTGTATCTTTCACACTGTCCGTTCCCCATTGCGTGATAAGATGTAGTCCTAGATTTCTTCATTCCTGTAATTTCACATAATTCCTTGATAATCTGACTTTCGAAATTTGCACCCTGATCGGAATGTATTCTACAGGGAATCCCATAATAATTAATAAAGTTGTTGAATAATGCCTCTTCAGTTGTTTTCGCAATCATGTTTCTTGTTGATATGGCTTGGGCAAATTTTGTGTTGTGATCTGTGATGACTAGTATATGCTGGAATCCTCCTTTACTCATTTTCAAGGTAAGGAAATCCATACACACTAATTCTAAAGGGTATGACGATGTAATATTGACAAGTGGTGCTCTCTGATTGGTAGCTTTTCTGTGCATGCATCTATTGCAGTTCTTTCTCCAGTTGTCTATATCCTGATTCATTCCTGCCCAGTAGAATCTGTCTTTAATAAGCGCTGCTGTTCTTTCTCGCCCTGGATGACCAAATTTATCATGAAGTTCTGAAAAAACTTTGTCCTTAAACTTTCTTGGTACAGAAGAACTAACTGTTGATTTAATTTCTCTGAAACTGTTGTTTCCCTGAAAAGAACATTGTTAATCAAATGAAGTTTATTAAAATTTCTAATCAATGCTTGATTGAAATCCAAATGGTAAATCTTCCAGTCTTGGTTTCTGTTTGCGCCTAACAAAATAAATCCATGTTTTAAGAGTTGGATCTGAACTCTGTTCCTGGTACCAATCCATCTCTTGGTCAATGATCTTTTGTGTTGACATGTTCCTGTCTATAATTGTTGAATCTAAAGAAAGAGAAGTAATTAATGGACTGGAACGTACTGCTTGACATACTGCTTTAACCGAATCACTACAAATAGATTTTGTTTGTTTGTTTGTATGTTGTTTAACGTCCCTCTCGAGAATTTTTCACTCATATGGAAACGCCACCACTTGCCGGTGGAGAGCTGCAAATTTTGTCCTATACTCGGCACTTACGGCCATTGAGCAGTGAGGGATCTTTTTCGTGCCAACACCTACTGCGACACGGGACCTCGGTTTATACGGTCTCATCCGAAGGACCGGTCTCCACGTCCCACAGTGGGATTCGAACCCGCGACGTAAGGATCCACTCCTTACTTCGCGACTCTAGAGCAGACGCTCTAACCACTGCGCCACGCGGGCGACCACTATACAAATAGACTGAAATTCATTAGTATTAGGTCTTCTTGATAAGGAGTCAGCAACCTGGTTCTGCTTCCCTGGTCTGTAAAGCATGTTAAAGTCATAAGCAGAGAGTGATGCCAACCACCTATGTCCTGCAGCGTCAAGTCGAGCTGTCGTCAAGACGTATGTCAGTGGGTTATTGTCTGTTAGAACTGTAAATTTGTGTCCGTACAAATAATCATTGAACTTTTCTGTAATTGCCCACTTTAAAGCCAGGAATTCTAGTTTATGTGGTGGGTAATTTCTCTCGGTAGGAATAAATGTAACCGGCGGGGAAAAATGTCGGCCAGACTGGGACTCGAACCCGGGACCTCCTGCTAACCGTGCGGGTGCTCTAACCACTGAGCTACCGGGCCGACGTACCAAATCCCCGTTACACTCCCCCTCCCCCCCCCTTTTTTTCTTGAGGTTTTCCATACTGAAAACCTCACAGAGACTCTTCTAAACCACCCGTGGTTTTATTGTTGGGAGCCAAATGTAACAGGCGGGGAAAAATGTCGGCCAGACTGGGACTCGAACCCGGGACCTTCCGCTAACCGTGCGGGTGCTCTAACCACTGAGCTACCGTTACATTTAACTGGGACTGGTACGTCGGCCCGGTAGCTCAGTGGTTAGAGCACCCGCATGGTCAGCGGAAGGTCCCGGTTTCGAGTCCCAGTCTGACCGACATTTTCCCCGCCTGTTACATTTGGCGCCCCACGTTGGGCGCCATTTTTGTAACGGGAAATCCCGGCATGAATTTGATGAAATAAGTCGAAGAAGTCGAAGAACATTTAATCTTTTAACATTATCTTTTCATCATTTCAGATATCACAATATAACTGGTTATATTTCTGTTTCTGTCCAGGAATTTAATGTCAGGAAATATAATAATTACAATACTGTAGATTTCAATAAATTCAGTAATTCAACAGAAAAACTGCATGTCTACATGACTATGAAATTTAAATCTGAGTAATATTCACCCTGGACAATGTAAAACTTCTTGACCAATGGAATGCAAGTGTACAACCAATGAATGAGTGTAGGTATGAAATGTGTAGGTGAATATAAAGGGTATAACTTAATACTTTATTAGTAATAGAAAGACTTTAGATTTTATTTATTTACTAGTATTTAACTATTTTAAATTTATTTTATTTATTTATCATTTATTAAATTACTTATTTAAATATACATCTACTACATATATATAGAGAGAATATTTATTGCTACGTTGATATCCGTTTTGTCGGCATGTATCATGTATAAATGGCAATCTGAATACCTATATATCAGTGTAATTAAGGTTTTTAAAGTATATCCCTACCATTGTTAAGGTATTCTAAATGTGACATTAAAATAATTAAAATTCCGGAGCATAACACAGATGTATAATTTTCGAGGCCAGTCCGTAATCGGTATTTAAAAAAAATCGGGAAAAAAACGGAATTTCCGTAACAGTGAACAGCTCTGGTATGCATAGTAGATATATTTCAAAAATGAAAAGAAGGGGAGTGACTTTGACATTTAGTGTATACGTCCTAATTTTAGTCGGGCATGGGATAACAAAAATAAAAGGTCATTCTGGTTTGTTTACCTGTCAAGCTTGACTAATTAAACTTAAGTGTGATAGTGTCACAGTAAAGTAAGCTGAAAGCATAACAGCCTAAACAGCATGGTTATTAAACTTGAAGCTCGTTCTTAGAAAAGGTGCGTTGTCTAAGAATTTACCAGTCTAACTGTTAATGGGCTTTTCGGACTCATACCATCTGTATCCATGATCCAGTTCAAGTGAATGTGTGCATGGCCATGATAATGATAATATCAACTGCGGAAATAAACTTCACAATGTCGTTTGAGAATGTAACCTAACGCTTCACGAGTAACACGTCAAGATACTGGTAAGAATTTTTTTTTTTTTGCATAATAATATACAAGTATCGATACATGTAATTAATATCTTTCCATTTATTGCAATAATGTTCAACATTGACACCCCCCCCCCCTCCCCCACCCCCATCATGTTCATGTGTAAATAATGGTCTGTTTAAATGCTTTTTCCCCTGTAAACCCTCTCCATTAATATGTATTGCAAGTATTTTTTTTCAATGAATCTCTTCATTCGTGATGTGGCAGAAGTCATTTATAAATCTACTGTAATGGTTTGGGCATTTAGCTGTTTAGCTCAGTTGGTATAGTACCCAACTAGTGATGCTGGGGTTCTGGGTTCAATATCTGGTCCTATTCATACATTTTCTCCTGTCCTGTTACAAAATTTTGTGCCAGTGACCCCCCCCCCCCCCCAGATTTGTAGACAGGTAAAAGTCTTAACAGCGGCAATAAGAACTTGGGTTGTGTCTTCGAGGTTGAAGACAATTTATTGAATTTAAGGAGGGAGGATGTAATGGTTTAGGCCTGGGTAGCTCATGTGGTAGAACACCTGAATAGTGATGCAGGGGTCCTGGGTTTGATTCAAGTGCAGCCATACAATTTCTCATTTCACACTACAATGAATTTTCTCCAGTGTTTAGCACACAGTTTAGTGCATGCAGTTACATTTACCTTGCGCCTTCTTCAGAATTACCACACATTATGTTATCTATAACATATAATGCTTTGAACAGGAACAAGATGAACAGACAGAACATTCCTCCTCTCCACCCTGGTGTGCTGGCCATGGGCTCACCTTTATCTGGTCCCCAGAGCTGCTTGATACAGGCTATAGGGATTAGCAACCAGGAACTGGAAAGTCTACTGGCAAAGCCTGCTAAAGAGTTACCTGTACAAGTAAGTATTACAGTGTTTAACAAGAAAGTTTATATGGAAGAGTAAATAGAGCATGATGCAATTAGAAATAAGAAAAGCTATTTCAAATATGCATTAACAGTGGAAACCGGACCTGACAAAGAAAACTTTTGATTGACATAATTCCTGTGGTGCATAAAATGCATATGTAAGCATAATTTAATTTTATAGCAAAAGAAAATTTCATGAATGCACATTTTTTCAAAATTAAAAAATTAAAAAGGAAACATAAAAATTAAAAATAACATAAAAAACGGAAGAAAAAGATTTCCCAAAACAGACAAAAATAGTTATTTATCACTGTCAAAAAGATGTTAAACGGTTTAACACCTACCTGACAATGTTTTTTTTTTTTTGATTTTGCACCCCTTTATTCTGTTTATATATATATATATATATATATATATATATATATATATATATATATATATATATATATATATATATATATATATAATGATTTATGCACTAGTATGATTCTTTAGATCAGGGACCTATATACTTAGTATATAGGTCCCTGTTTAGATGAAAGAATATATAATCTCATTTTTTTTATGTTACATCTATATATATCAGTGAATCATTTAATATAAAGATTGCAATACCATGCATATATTTCCAAAAAGAATTGGGGATGGGAAATCCCCCCAGAGTTCACTTTGTTTATTAATGATTAACTCTTTACATGCCAGGAGGTCTTTTAAAGATGGACAAATTTTAAATAGAACTGCATATAAAATCTCAATAATGACCTGGATATAATGTAGATAGTTCTAGAAGACATGGTTCAAACAAGGAAGTCAAACTTTTGTACCATACACATATCACAGGAATGATCTACACAGTTGGCCACAAATTTTTAATGTTAACAGAATAAAAAAAATTTTAAAGAAAAAAGGGGTCTTCTTTCAATGAATTATTTAGGGGAAAAAAATGGCAGCAGTTTTTTCACAGTTACACAAATGGATCAAAGTGCAAAATAAACATCCTGTCAGTGAATACATTACTAGATCTCTGCATCAAGTTATTTTATTGAAAAGTAAATGATATAATTTTTTTATGGACCTAATTTGAATATTGATTAATTCATCTATGTACATATATGTACACCTATTATAATATGTACCATTAATCATGTAATTGAAATAATCATAAGCAGTATGTTGTTTAATACATTTATTAAATTGATTGAATTAATATTTTCCCATCTTGTTAAAGGTCTTCCATGAACTTGGCAATAAATTGCAACCAATGAGTTATGGGGTACGTACTGGTGATTGGGTTCATGTTGCAGAACTACTAGGGTTTTCTCAACAGCACATTGAAAATTTTGAGGTAAAATCAAACATCCAACGTGAGTCTGCAGGTTTTCTGATGTTAATGGAGTGGCGTGGACATGAAGACTGCAGTACTCTCTTTATACTGAGAGATACCTTATGGAGCTGTGGTCGTTATGATTGTGTCACTTGGCTGGACCAAAAGATAGAAGGCAAGAGCAATAAAATTAACATAACATACACAGGTAGTACCAGTAAGGAAAAAAGTTAAGGCAGACTAGCTCCACTTTAAGTTTACTGTCAGGCTTTTACACGGAATCATTTTTGGTCAGTCTGTCTGCACCTTTAAACAAGGTCTGTGGAGGGAGTAATTTTTTTCAAAACAAGGTGACTGGTCTTAGATTTGCAGTGGCAGATCCAGGATTTTCAGTATGGAAGGGAGGGGGCACAAAGTTTTAAATAAGTTAAATGACAACAGAGACTCGGAGAACTTGGTGTTATTTTTGGTTGAATAGCATAAGTTTTATCAAGACTTTCATAATTTGGTGAAAGGGGGCAGTGGAGGGGGGGGGGGGGATAAGTAAGAAAATCTTGCCATTGTTTAATATTGTAATGATATGTTTGAAATTAAGATTTCACTTATTTTTCACCAGAAAATTAATATTCATTAGCTAAATAAAGAAAATAAGCAGATGTCATATAATTTTAAAAAAAAAAAAAAAAAATAAATAAAGCAGGTGTCATCTAGATTTTTCAAAAAAGAATATCATCTAATGTAAGTAAGATTTAACAAATAAATTTTCAATATTTAACTTCTTATTACAGAAACAATGTTTATGCATCTTTATCTGCGAATCATAGATGACTGGAATCCATCTTCACCCATGCGATTGCTGAAGGTTCGCACTAAATGTGACTCAACTATACAAGAGAGTCTTCAGAATTTACTGGGTGGAGATTCTGACGATAGTGAATATGAATTGGTGGACACACCCTTACTGTCAAAGGCTAAAGGGTTCAAGGTATAGTGCTAGGGTGAATTACTTATTTTAGCAATATTTATTATATTTAAAAAAAAAAACCCTACCCCCTTCCAAAAAAGGACGAGGGTGGAGGGGAGGAATAAATTTGAATTTATGAATTTTACCAGGGAAAACAGATCACTCTGAGGAAAAAGGCCTCAAGGCGACCAGATCTTTTACCTTGTAATATAACAGCAGGGGAAACCTCTAGCTCAGATAACAGCATTGAAAACAGCATCATCTTGACTCAAATGAAACAAGTAAAATACTTACCAAGTGTATACAGCAATACCAGTCCTTGTTGCTTGAGGGAGGAAGATCAAGAGGAGGTGCTACCAAAGAGCTGTGGGGATACAATCAAAAAGACTATTTACATCACAGAAGATTGTGTTTACTGTGGCAAGATGAGGACCGTCAGTCAGGTATTATTTTCCCCCATTCTCTTGCCGAAAGCTTGTGTTTGAGGCAAAGAATGATAGGTAGGTAAAACATTAATTTTTTTGTTGTTGTAGAGACTTGTCAGTGAAGCTTCTTCCGCTATCAAGACAGGGGTTCACTGTCTGTCATGTAATTGTTCTGCCTCTCCTCTTCCCACCACCCAGCCATTACTTTCTCAGTCAAGTGTCCCTGGAGTGTTGTATCAACATTTCAGCCGTTTGGGACAGGACATTTCACCCTCCTCTGAAGTTTCTTCAAATCAATATCCTGTAATGACTCTCAACACTGAAAACAGACTGTCAGAGTGTTCTCTTGTAGAGGACTCAGAAAGGACATCAGTGAAACAGTTGCATAGAGATACTGCATCAGAAAACTTTCCTAACTACAAACCAAAGGCAAACTCATACATAATGCTGCCTTCAGGCACTAGTGTTGGTGATGGATTGCAGGGATTCTCCAGAGATCAGTCGTCTTTAATATCAGCGTCACAGACAAAGAGACAGAGATCAGTTTCAGAGCCACCAGATATTTTAGTCGCTGAACTTAAAGACAAGTTTGATCTTTCCATGCCTTCTTCCTCTGCTGAAATCCAAAAACTTCCCAAGAAGCGTAAAATAGAAATATCTTATCAAGAAATTTGTGAAATAATGAGAAATTTTCCTGGTTGGGACCCTGATGAAACAGAAAATATGGTAATTTTTTTTTCAAACATTGTTTCTTCATAAATGTGTTTTAATATTTACACCAGCTAATTCATATAAGCCTTTTTTGCCTGGTTTCATGATAAAAATTTGTAAAATGCTTTATGATTTTTATGCCCCATATCGAAGATTCGGGGGTATATAGTTTTTGCCCTGTCAATCCATCTGTCTGTTTGTCTGCAAAAACTTTAATATTGCCCATAACTTTTGATTGGTTGGAGCTATGGCTTTCACATTTCACATGTGTATTCCTTGTGACAAGACCTTTCTTTGGGTACCATCATATTTGAAGTTTGACCCAATTTTGCAAAATTTTACTGAACTTTAACCTAGGCCATAACTTTCGAACGATTGGTGCTAAGGCTTTCATACTTCACAAATTTGACCTTTTGACCTTGACCTAGGAGTTTGACCTACTTTTGAAAAACTTTAACCTTGGCTATAACTTTTGAACAGTTAGTGGTAGGGCTTTCATACTTCACATATTTAATTCTTGTGACAAGACATTCTTTTAAATACCAACAACTTTGACCCTTTGACCTTGACCTTGGAGTTTGATCTACTTTTGGAAAACTTTAACGTTGGACATATTTTGAACAGTTGCTACTAGGGCTTTCATATATAAGTGGTCTATTCCTTGTGACAAAACCTTACTCTGGATACCAACAATTGTGATCCCTTGACATTGACCTTGGAGTTTGACCTATTTTGAAAAAACTTTAACCTTGGCCATATCTTCTGAACGATTGGTGCTATGGCTTTCATATTTCACATGTGTATTCCTTGTGAGAAGGCCTTTCATTGGGCACCATTCGTTTTGACCATTTGACTTTGACCTTGATGTTTTATTTACTTTTGAAAAACTTTAACCTTTTCCATATCTATTCAATGGATTCTGCTAGGGCTTTCATATTTCACAGGCATATTCCTCGAGACAAGACCTTTCTTTGGGTACCAATATATTTGATTTGCATTTGAGAAAGTTTAACCATCTTGTTTTACATTGTTGATGAATTTGATATATTGAATATTGAAAAAAGATATACATAGGTAATTTCAAATTATTTATTTGACAAGCAGCATTGTTTTATGGACATTTGAACTGAAAGATGAAATATTTAGTTTTTTCATTGTTTGTAGTGTCATGCCAATAAAAATATATTTATCAAATAATGAAATAAAATACATATGTCATTTTTCACATAATTTTTCTATGAGAAATAAAAGACAAGGAATTACAAAATACATATAAAAGGGGTTTTGAATGTAGTGCAAATTCATATTTGTTTAAATCCACTGTACTAAGGTTGAGCTAAAGTTGAGTCTACATCAAAATTTGCACAGAAAATTATGGGGGTGGGGGTGGGGTGGTTCTTAAGGAAGATTGCAACGTATAAAAAAATATGTCCTCTGTATATATATTAGACTTGTAATACCTTCATAAGGGAAAGTTAATTGAGCACAGAGACCCAAAATTTTCTTTGATCTCTTAGGTTGAGCAGTCAATGTCCCACTACTGCAAAGAGGATGGACACTATGTTATTTGGTACATGAGGGAAACCCATCGTCTTGTTGTTACTGTCAGGTATAGTATGATTATTTTGACCTCTGATATTATTTGACCTCTGATATGATTTGACCTGTGATAGATTTGACCTGTGATATAATTTTACCTGTGATATGAATTGACCTCTGATAGATTTGACCTTTAATATGATTTGACCTCTGATAGATTTGACCTGTAATACAATATAACCTCTGATATGATTTGACCTCTGATATGATTTGACCTGTGATAGATTGACCTCTGATATAATTTGACCTCTGATATGATTTGACCTCTGATATGATTTGACCTCTGACAGATTTGACCTTTAATATGATTTGACCTCTGATAGATTTGATCTCTGGTATGATTTGACCTCTGATAGACTTGATAGACTCTGATAGACTTGATCTCTGATATGATTTGACCTCTGATAGATTTTATATCTGATATGATTTGACCTTTGATAGATTTGACCTCTGATATGATTTGACCTCTGAGAGATTTTATCTCTGAGAGATGGGTTAAAAATGAAGGAGATAACCTTTAGTTAATACTTTGTCAGAATGGATAAAAAGTATAAGGTGGATGTTAATATCTCGTGTTAAATGAATAAAGAATTAGCGAGATTACACAATCAATATGTACTGGTCCCAGTCGACAAAGCAGGTAACAACATCGTTTTTGCTTATAAGGGTCATTATTACAACTGCATTTTAGAGGAAATTAGATTTTATTCTACAAGTGGTAATTCAACTTATGGTTCCCTTTCTAATGAAGAGATTCTTTGATGTCATATGTCGGTTTAAATTTTTCAATATTCCAAACAACCAAATTGATTTTGAGTTACCAAACCTATGCTGTATTCCAAAATTTCATAAAAATCCAAATATTCTAACCAAGCCTTTATTTTTACTCCTCACTAAAATTTTAACAGCAATGCTCACTAAAATGTAAACAGCAATGAAGGAGAAACTTCAATAGTACTGTGAAACTACGTATTCGAGAAGTGGTGTTAATCAAATGTAAATACTTAAGAACTCATGGGTACTAATTGTGTAAAATCATAGGTACTCATTGTGTAAAATTATTGGTACTCATTGTGTAAACTCATGGGTACTAATTGTGTACAATCATTGGTACTCATTGTGTAAAATCATAGGTACTCATTGTGTAAAATCATTGGTACTCATTGTGTAAACTCATGGGTACTCATTGTGTAAAATCATAGGTACTCATTGTGTAAAATCATTGGTACTCATTGTGTAAAATCATTGGTACTAATTGTGTAAACTCATGGGTACTCATTGTGTAAAATCATAGGTACTAATTGTGTAAAATCATTGGTACTCATTGTGTAAAATCATTGGTACTAATTGTGTAAAATCATTGGTACTAATTGTGTAAACTCATGGGTACTCATTGTGTAAAATCATAGGTACTCATTGTGTAAAATCATTGGTACTCATTGTGTAAAATCATTGGTACTAATTGTGTAAACTCATGGGTACTCATTGTGTAAAATCATTGGTACTCATTGTGTAAAATTCATTGGTACTCATTGTGTAAAATCATTTTTACTAATTGTGTAAATTTATTGGTACTCATTGTGTAAAATCATTGGTACTAATTGTGTAAAATCATTGGTACTCATTGTGTAAAATCATGGGTACTCATTGTGTAAAATCATTGGTACTCATTGTGTAAAATCATTGGTACTCATTGTGTAAAATCATTGGTACTAATTGTGTAAAATTATTGGTACTCATTGTGTAAAATCATTAGTACTAATTGTGTAAAATCATTGGTACTCATTGTGTAAACTCATGGGTACTCATTGTGTAAAATCATGGGTACTCATTGTGTAAAATCATTGGTACTAATTGTGTAAAATTATTGGTACTCATTGTGTAAAATCATTGGTACTAATTGTGTAAACTCATGGGTACTAGTTGTGTAAAATCATTGGTACTAATTGTGTAAAATCATTGGTACTCATTGTGTAAAATCATTGGTACTCATTGTGTAAAATCATTGGTACTAATTGTGTAAAATCATTGGTACTAATTGTGTAAACTCATGGGTACTCATTGTGTAAAATCATAGGTACTCATTGTGTAAAATCATTGGTACTCATTGTGTAAAATCATTGGTACTAATTGTGTAAACTCATGGGTACTCATTGTGTAAAATCATTGGTACTCATTGTGTAAAATTCATTGGTACTCATTGTGTAAAATCATTTTTACTAATTGTGTAAATTTATTGGTACTCATTGTGTAAAATCATTTTTACTAATTGTGTAAAATCATTGGTACTCATTGTGTAAAATCATGGGTACTCATTGTGTAAAATCATTGGTACTCATTGTGTAAAATCATTGGTACTAATTGTGTAAAATTATTGGTACTCATTGTGTAAAATCATTGGTACTAATTGTGTAAAATCATTGGTACTCATTGTGTAAACTCATGGGTACTCATTGTGTAAAATCATGGGTACTAATTGTGTAAAATCATTGGTACTAATTGTGTAAAATTATTGGTACTCATTGTGTAAAATCATGGGTACTCATTGTGTAAAATCATTGGTACTCATTGTGTAAAATCATTGGTACTCATTGTGTAAAATCATTGGTACTAATTGTGTAAAATTATTGGTACTCATTGTGTAAAATCATTAGTACTAATTGTGTAAAATCATTGGTACTCATTGTGTAAACTCATGGGTACTCATTGTGTTAAATCATGGGTACTCATTGTGTAAAATCATTGGTACTAATTGTGTAAAATTATTGGTACTCATTGTGTAAAATCATTGGTACTAATTGTGTAAACTCATGGGTACTAGTTGTGTAAAATCATTGGTACTAATTGTGTAAAATCATTGGTACTCATTGTGTAAAATCATTGGTACTCATTGTGTAAAATCATTGGTACTAATTGTGTAAAATCATTGGTACTAATTGTGTAAACTCATGGGTACTCATTGTGTAAAATCATAGGTACTCATTGTGTAAAATCATTGGTACTCATTGTGTAAAATCATTGGTACTAATTGTGTAAACTCATGGGTACTAATTGTGTAAAATCATTGGTACTCATTGTGTAAAATTCATTGGTACTCATTGTGTAAAATCATTTTTACTAATTGTGTAAATTTATTGGTACTCATTGTGTAAAATCATTGGTACTCATTGTGTAAAATCATTGGTACTAATTGTGTAAAATTATTGGTACTCATTGTGTAAAATCATTGGTACTAATTGTGTAAAATCATTGGTACTCATTGTGTAAACTCATGGGTACTCATTGTGTAAAATCATGGGTACTCATTGTGTAAAATCATTGGTACTAATTGTGTAAAATTATTGGTACTCATTGTGTAAAATCATTGGTACTCATTGTGTAAAATCATTGGTACAAATTGTGCCCCATTATTAGCTGTTGTTGTATAATTATAAAGCAGAGTTTATTCAAAAACTTCTTGATGAAGAGACGAAGTTTCTTGCTGTGGCCTTCCATTTGACATTCAGATATATCGATGACATGTTATCAGTTAAAAATGTTTATTTTCATTCATAAGTTGATTCTATATATCCCATTGAACTCGAAATAAAAGATACCAGGGAATTTGTGCTTAGTAAATCTTTCTTATAGACACCTCGATTTTTGTAAATCTGTTTGTATTCTGTAACCTGCGGATGTGTATTCACTTGCCTACAGTATTCCGTACCTTTGATGTCATTTCAACAACTTTATTTTAAAAGACTATGATGAATATCTTGGACATTTTGATTTTACTCCTTTTTATTTAGAAATTTATTTTATTTGCAGTCATATGAGGAAGCTGGTCCATTACGCCGTTTTTTCAGAACGACACAGCAATGGACAAGACTGGCACTACTTCTTTCCAGAGCATAAATTCCCTGATATTCGTTCTCTACTAAGGCACCACATGGAAAATGGCCTTGACCCTCAGTCTTCTCAGAGAGGTCAAGGCCGTAGAGATTTTGATAAGCAGCAGAATATGCGGAACAGTCGGCGAGAAGTGATATTGTCACACGTGACCTTAAAATATCCACGCCGACCACAGCCAATTAAATCCAATGATAAAGTTTAACAATACCCTGGTAATATCAATATCTAACATAATACCCTGCAGACCATAAAGTCAAATGAAAAAGTTTAGCAATACTCTGATAATATTGATATCTAACATAATATCCAGCAGACCATAAAGTCAAATGAAAAAGTTTAGCAATACTCTGATAATATTGATATCTAACATAATACCCTGCAGCCCATAAAGTCAAATGAAAAAGTTTAGCAATACTCTGATATTATTGATATCTAACATAATACCCTGCAGCCCATAAAGTCAAATGAAAAAGTTTAACAATACTCTGATAATATTGATATCTAACATATTACACTGCAGACCATAAAGTCAAATGAAAAAGTTTAGCAATACTCTGATAATATTGATATCTAACATAATACCCTGCAGCCCATAAAGTCAGATGATAAAGTAAGTTAAACAAAACTCTGGTAATATTACATACCCTGTAGCGTATTTGGGTAATGAAAAATTAACAAAAGTACAAAAGTCTGAAAGAAGTTCATATAAACTGCATTCATTTTGTATTGGGAAATAATTGGTATTTATATTTTTATTATATTTGTATTTTATGTATTTATTTGAAGTGCTTCTTATTTTTCCTCAATCCCTACTTTTTCATCAGGATGTGTTGAAGGTTGTATACATTTGCAGGCGAGTAATTGCAGAAGTTGTGTTTTGGTTGTACACAAAGCAAGTTTTATTTCATTTATGTTTTTTGATTATTAAAAGTTTCCTTGAAATGTTTCATATGATATTTTAATTTAAGGAGGCCGATAATGTAATTATTTCTACCCTAGATATTTTGAAAAATTTTCCTGTATGAATTTTTACTATTATATTGTTTAAAGATAAAATAATCGATGTATACCATCCCGATTTCTTAGGGGGCATCTCAAAAGTTGTCAAATTTTACTATATTAATTTTGTATTAAAATCACAAAAACTAGGAAAGGTGTAATGTCGTACCTACGACTGCATGAAAATAAAAGCTGCGCAAAGTCATGCGCACTTGAATTAGACTCGGCCTCGTTAAATTCAGTTTTTATCTCATTGTAGACAATCTTCAACAAAACCACTTGATATTATAACTTGCTGACGAAATACCCAGATCTGAATATTTTTAATATTGCAATAAAAGTCGATGTGCCACTATATTTACAATTAGTACGTTTTAGTATAAGTCTTTTTTTGTAATCTCCTGAGCATTTAATATTTATATATATAATTTTTATTCATTCATAAATCTGAATACCAGTGGGTTAAAACCATTAAAAATTTTTTATTGTTATAAAAATTTGTAAGCACTGTTATTCGGTAAATGGTGAATATTTGCGTGAGGGAAATTTTTGTAATGAGTAAAGTTACACGTGGAGAGTGGGGGTGGCAGTATACCGTGTTAGCAGCCGGTGGTCTCCATACCTGTATCTAAATTTCATGTAAAGATAATTAATGTTCATGTTTACCATTTCTTTTATGTAGAGTTCATGTTTCTTGGATGAAACTTCCATACATCTAATTAATATATAACGAAGAATATTTTTTTTCTCATTTTTTGCAATTAAATAACAATCTAAACACAATATTGATATTTCAAATTTATTTAAAAGATTCATATTTTATAATTTTCATGTGAATACAGATATGAATTTGGAAATTAAAGACACCACAGTGTCTGACACATTTGTTTCATATTTGGATAATATACTAGTGACAATTTTGGCAAACTAACCACAAAACTTCCATTTTCCCTTATTTATGTAGCAATATTCATGTGTCATTATAACTTGCATGTGGAGTTACTGTCTCTCAGTTGATTATACACAAGAGCATGTTCTGTGTACAAACAATTTCTAAAACGAGTCAAGTCATTTGCAAGTTGATGATGCAAGGATATCAACAGTCTCGTTCAAAGTCAAAATTTTGCAAATTCTATGGTCGATACAATGACTTTGTCAGCAAATATAATCTATCGTGAAGTCGAATGTTGACCGACATTTTCGTACAAATTGTTAGGCCATCATTTTCACTCTGAATTGTCCACGGATTCTCAGTTTGCAGATAAAAAGAAAAAAAAAACTTAACTTTTCGAGTCGTATCCTTTTTATAAAAGAATATTCATCATTTTTGTTGAAAGATTTTTAAATATATATATACAGTCATATATTTTTGCGTAACCATGGGCTTTACTTGACTCAGAAAGTGATCAGAAACGTCAAATCATCCAATCATTGTACAAATATTTGTTGAAAAAAAACTTACTGTTTGATTTTTTTGAAAGTAATTATCTGCAGATCATGATTTTTTTAACATTTATATTATTGCTTCATCAAATTTTTAAAGTGGACTTGTGCTCCCACAATAACAGATTGTATATTTCTCATGGATCTTTTACGTCTCGGAAAATGTGATCAATTTTGTTGAATTGTTTAATCGTTGTACATTTTTTTTTAAAATCACTTAATATATGAATTTGTATGGAGTACATATCAGCACATTATGTTTTTATCGTATTGTAATTTTTCATTGTTGTTTTTAAAGATCTAATTGTTAAATGGTTGTATACTACCATAACAATAGACTATAGAACTATAATGGGCTGTAATTCAATAATAAACTGTAAACGTACTTATTTTAGTAGTAATCATGTGAAAGCCTTTCCCGCTGCTTCGTTTCCGCTAATATATGTACACGCTAAAAGAGGATTGAAAGCAATACTCGTCGTTTGCATGTGCGCTAATGAGTGCGCTAATCAGTTGCAGAGGAGTGTTGTGCTAAATTTTGAGTGCGCTAATTTACGTACGTTTACAGTATCTTATACAGAATTTGTTAAAGGTTAAATAAAGCTTTTCCTGAAGATTGATTTGTCGTTTTCATACATTTTAATGTTTACGTTTTTCTGCGACTCTCAAATGTTTTCAAGTGTTCATTCATATTGTGTTTATCTTTTTAAGATGAAAATATATGCATGATAAGTAAATTTGATACAAATTATGCATTTAGGTAGGTAATACCGGATTCTAGACAGTTCCAAAATTTACGCCTACATGCGTAAAAATCTTCAACGAAGTTATACAGCTAAATATGTACACCTTCGTGTTAAAAAAAAATTAATAAAAGCCTGTCCTTTGTGCATTTTCGCAAAAATTATTGTTGAAATATTCTAAGCGAAACTGTATGCTCTAAATGTATAAACGCTTTCACGTTTACAATATAATGTTTGGATAGTATATCAAATATCGGAACATTGAACATTGAAGTCTTTACATGTTTTATATTTACAACATTTTTACCATTTCTTCTTTGTCTCCAGTGGAATTATTAACAGCGTCTAGCCACAATATTTTTCAGTATGTAAACCAAATTATCTTCTTATATCAACAGACATAAATATAAATTTTTAATATTCGGGAAGATAGCATAATTTTCTTATCCATTAGTAAATATTTTAATTTGCATTATCAGTCGATACCAAAAGCAAAGCAAGACCTCCGTCCTTTAATTATTTATTGCCCACTTCTATATTGTCATTGGCCAGGTCATTTACGTGTGATTCCACCCTGGTTTCAAGATGATGGAAGTGAATAATGCTTTTATGACATGTGGTGGTATTTCTGTCATTAAGTTGTAAACATTGCCATAGTAAATCTGTAAATACAAACACCAGTAACAAGGAGAGTGATAGCGCCTCTCTTTGACATCGTCAGTCACGTGATTTCCTTGATCCCAACTGTGCATGTATTTCTGGGAGTTGGCACAAAAAAGAGAAGATATGATATTTTTATTAGGAATAGTTTTATGGATTAATGCAGGTAAAGTATCAGTTTGTTTTTAACATTATTTTAATTAGAGCGACTATTTTTATGGTCGTCATTTCAGTAATATGAATTGATCACATCACACGCATATTGGAAAGAGAAGGTAAATTTTATTTGACCCCAGCAATTTCACATAGACTTCATTACTTAATTGAAAATTAAAAATTCAGATTGGAATTTGTGCTTGATTACTTACAGTGTATTTGAAAGTGTATACATATAAGTATGATTAGATCAGAAAGACAGGATTGGCAAATTTGTATAAGCTGTATTTAGGTATGATGAACAAGTTTGACATTGAGACTATTTTGTTATATTTTTATCTCTGTATTTTTCAGTCTCTGCTCAATTTATTGAAATCGAAATTGCCAACACCACCATAGAGTATGGGTTAGAAGACGTAGATGTCTTGTGCCGAGTCACAAACGGTTCTTCCCTGAACTCAGTGTTTACCATTCAGTTAAAGCGTTCTGGTACCTCAGTTGTCTCTGCAACTCCAGGCGGAGTCTCTTGGCAAGATACCTCACTAGAAAACAGGAATGGTGTGATAGCCAATGGATCCGTCAATGACGTCATGAACGCACGTCTTCATCTGAACATTCCGATGTCCTCGGTGGTTTACCCTGATGACGAGGGTGACTACCAATGTACTATGTCAGGATTAGATTTAATGTCTGCGAGTGTTAATGCGGAAACTAGAACTGTTTTTGTAAATATTACAGGTATTGTTTTTTTTAATTTAGCTATTATTTCAAACAAGGTTGAATTTAGATTATAGATATTGAAACAGTTAGTTACCCAGTAAACAAATATCGATGATTTTATGGCTTTGCAGGTTATGTTGATTCCACCACGGGTAAGAATACTCTGTTACCTTTAACGTCGCCATTGTTAATGGAATTATAGTTTGTGTAACCTTTACAAAAATTTCTCTCATCATTTAAAGTCCTACACACGATTTCCTATCTTAGTCATGCATACAATATACAAAATACACTATGTTAAATCAAATTTATGATACCTTTTTTGTATTTTATACTGTTTCAATCATCAGTGTTCATCAATGTTGAAATTGTTTGAGGTGAGGGTTTAATTTGCTCCACCTGCAGAACAAAGTCATTTTAATTATCCATAATCAATATTTTTTTTTCATATTTCTTCCGATTCTTTTGACAGTCCTCGAAACGACAACAGTTCCATTATCAAGTTCCACAAATTCAGGTAGGAGATCAGGAAGCCTGACATAGTGCATTGTATAATATTGCTTTATTGTTTTATTTATAAAGAACACTAGAATATCACACACAGAGACTAAGTGTATGTCTCGGTCTATACAGTATTAAAGTTTATGTCACAATTTATTATTGCAGAATCACCTGTTTCTAGCTTCTCTCCATCCTCAGGTAAAATACTGAAACTTATATAGAAACTTAGAGCCCTAACACTTTTCTAACACTCGAGATTAGCAAAAAAGAATAATAATTTATTGTATGTTAACCACAAACATAGTTTCTTTAACGGACTTTTATCATAAATATAAAAGTTTTGAATTTTTGCCATAAAACCCCATACCTTCTGTTGAGTTTTAATGAAAAAAAAAATGAAAATTGAGGAAGTGACATTTTAATGCACTTTTTAAGGTCTGAAATTTGAATCTGCGCACCATGATCTGTGACGTCAAATGCGCAACTCCTTGGATAAAGTAGTGTTTTCATAAAGATTTTTTTTTACACTTCTGTTTGTCAAATGCTATAAACTTTTGCAAAGATAATAATGTAGTTATAAATATTAAGTAATTATAATATGATTCGTTTTGACACCAGATAATAAATTCTTACACCAATTATTCTTAAAACTTTTGCAAAAATAATTATGTAGTTATAAATATTTTAAAGTAATTATAATATGATTCTTTTTGACACCAAATAATAAATTCTTACATTATTCTTAAAACTCTTCTCTATTGATGCTTAAAAGCATGTTTTACGTATAAAAAAGGCAATATCAAAACTGTACACAGTACTTTTTTGCTTGCGCTTTCAAATTTTTTTTTTCACTCATACCAGATTGACAGACTGAAGGCTAAAAATTTAGACATGTACACAGATTTTATGGTCATAGAACAGTAAGGGATCATTTTCATGCGAACTTCTACTGCCAAACGAGACATCTCATACGAAGGATGGGTCTCTATGTCCCGCAGTGGTATTCGAACCTGCATCGTAATGATCATCTTTTTACTTCACGGATTTAGATCGTAACGTTCTAACCACTGCGTCGCACTGCACCAATACACAAACGTTTTTCAGAATGTGTTTATTATAAAATTTATAAATAATTATTTATAAATAATTTCATTTTGAAATATCTTCGTGAAAAGAATTTATTCTAAGAATTCATATGGGTCCATTTCAGCAGAATGGATACTAGTAACCATAAATTTTGAAGCATTGAACTAATACAATAACAGGTGGTACACTAAACCTCTGGCACTTGTGATTGACTATCAACTCAGTTAGTACATTGTGTTTGCCAAAAATTTCAATTTATCAGACGACAAAATTATTTAGAGTAAGTAAGGACTGCTCTGGTCATGAAGACCTTTATACGGTTTCCATGGGTAATATATATAGCAATCTCCAGCTTATTAACTATGAAAACTCTGTGTAACGATACAAATTTCAGATTCACCGTCTGGGACCCCAGATCCCAGTGCTTCAGGTAATGACTATGGTAATTGTGGCTCTCCACATAATGTTAATTCCAATATCTAAATTAATATAGCAATATAAGGACATATGCATTTCTGGTGCTTTGCATGATATCTCAGAGTTGCTGGCGGCTTATTTATTTAAAGCGTTATATAATCAGAGATACTTAAGTTAGGAACAAAATAATACACCAGTTAAATATTTGTAACATTTACTATATATTCATTCCATTACAAAAGTTTACTGAAAAGCTGCATCTGATATTCACATATTAACGCTCCCTCCCCCTCCAAGCTGCTAGTTACGAACACAGTAGAATAATACACGAATTAAATATTTGTTACATTTACTAATTATTCATTAAATTATTTAAATTCTGATACAAACTGAATCTGATGGTTACCTATCAGTGACCCCCCCCCCTTTCCGAGCTGCCATTTTTCAATGTGTTGTTTAACCCAATTCATTGGCTACACTGCACATATAGTAGTGTGACAGTTCTCTTTCATTAAGAGTTTTGGAACTTATTTTATACCCCCCCCCCCCCCCCCGGCAAACGATGTTTAAGGGGTTATAATTGATTCAGCATGTCCGTCTGTCTATAGATATGATTTTGTCCTTACATATTCTTAAAAACTAATGCACGGATTTGTCTGAAAATTTGTCCACCCCTTGCTTACCATGTAAAGGTGTGCACCTGATATTTTAATCTTGATTGAAAAGATTTTCTTCATTTTACAGGTGTTTTTAGTATTATTATTATTATTTTTTAAGTCATTGTGTTTTTAGATTAAAATATTAATTAATGTCATTTTGTTTTTAGATTTAAATATTAATGTCATTTAGTTTTTAAATTTAAATACTACGACGCGTAGTATAGTCAAACTTCGTCAGCTGATGCATCTTGGGTAGACAGTGTGTCACGCATTAAACTTAGGTTAAAGTTAGGTCACTGTAACCTTCATTAAGATTGTATTCCCAGATATGGCAAAATCCTATCAGGCCTATTCAGGAGAATTATTTAGTTTAGAATCATGAAACTTGGACAGGAAATGAATCTTTGGTAGAAGGAGTGTCTTTGGTAGAAGAAGTGTCACACCCTACCTTAAGGTCACTGTGACCTTGAATTTAAATGAGTTGAAATGATATGGTCAAATATGCCAAAACCTTTTTTTGTGGGCTCGTGTGGATTTGAGACCCAGAATTAAGAAGCATTGTCAGTTGGTGTATTTTTGTAGAAAATTGCGAATGCAGCTTGAAGTAAACGTTAAAAAATGACCAAGGATAAAAAAAAACTCTTATGTAAGAGTTCCTTGATTAAAAACTGTTGCATCAAGATGGGAATACACTTTTTTCATGATATAGCTTTATAACAAATTTAAAAAGCTTTGTTCCTAACATTTAAATGACATAAATTTGCAATTGTACTACAAAAATTAATGTTGACCTAACAGTGCATCATACATCAGATAGTAATGAAAGCCATTCATCCCATGGGAATTATTATCGGGATTTCAGTTAGCCAACTAATATGAGGCGCCGCTTTAAATTTTTAAGGTATTTTCTGATATCAAAAAATGATTTTTTGATATCAGAAATTTGAATTTTTGATATCAAAAAATCATTTTCTGATATCAGAAAATATATTTTTTGATATTTTTTGATATCAAAAATTCGAATTTCTGATAGCAGAAAATCATTTTTTTATATCAAAAATTCGAATTTCTGATATCAAAAAATCATTTTGTGATATCAGAAATTCAACTGGATTTTTTGATATCACAAAATCAATTTTTTGATATCAGAAATTCAACAAATATTAGTGTTTAAGCTCATACAGATAATTTATTCTCCCCAAGGTTGTTTTCACAGAAGTAGGGCTCCCCTGTGTTTGGGTTTTGTACTATTTTCTGTAGAATTAGTGGAAAGGCGAACTTGTATATGTTACAAAATGAGGGTTACAAGTTTCGGTGTTTATGATGTAAAGAGAACTTGCTGAATGAATAAAGTGTTAATTACTCTATTTCTACTGTCATTTCCTACGAATCTCTTGTCATTACAACTGAACGAGGGTTCAAGCCTTATTTGGAATTCGGAAATTTCAAACTTATCAGCATTGTAAATGCATGTATCAATTTATGTATATTCATTTATTTCTCTGCATTAATCTATACAACAATTTTGTTAATAAAACACAAGGCTTTAGGCTAGACAAACAGCTATGAAGTGATAACACTAATCGCAGTAAGCAGAACATACAATATTGCAGCAGGATCGGTATTCAGGATGACACTAATACGAGTTAACTAACCATTGATACGGAATAAGGGAGCATTCATTAATGTAAGTTCTATTTATTTCACTCATATTTTCTGATATCAAAAAATCTATTTTTTGATATCAAAAATTCGAAAGCATTTTTTGATATCAGAAATTTATTTTCTGATATCAAAAAATCGATTTTCTGATATCAGAAAATGAATTTTTGATATCAAAAATTCGATTTTCTGATATCAGAAAATCTACATTAATTTCTGATATCAAAAATTTGAATTCCTGATATCAGAAAATGGTGATTTTCTGATATCAGGAATTCAAATTTTTGATATTAGAAAATCATTTTCTGATATCAAAAATTCAATTTCTTGATATCAAGAATTATTTTTTGATATCAAGAATTCGAATTATTGATATCAAGAATTCTTTTTTTTTGGCAATAATTTTTCGCTTTTCATACCTTTTAAAAAAATACCTCAAAAATATATAAATGGCGCCTCATAAACTAAAAGCTGTCCAGTCACAGATTAATGAATGAGTTCATTTTAAGAAAGCTATCTTAATCATTTCTGATCAAGCAAATGTTATTCAATACCCATGGAAATTGATCTCTTAATTGCTATTGAAAGCATGTGTCAAAAACATAGTTCTTGATGCCATCCTTTTGTTTTCAAAATTAATTTGGAATAAAGTTGTCAAAATTAATTTTATAGTGTACGAGGGGTGACCAAAAAGTTCGCGAACTAATTGAATAACTTCCATAAAAAAATAAAATGAGGTTTCAGTGTTCATTATTTTTTTAAAGTAGTCCTCTCCGATTTTAATGCACATCTGCCATTGTTCTGCCCATGCGCGAATCACGTGATCCAGGCGGTCACGTGACATGCTTCGTAGCTGTCTGTTCACAGAAGCTAAGAGATTTTTCCGAGTCTTATATTTCTTATCATGCAAGTAATTTTTTATAACAAGAACAAACCATCTGTCAGAAATGGCAAAATCTCGGCAATAGGATGGATGGATTAGGATATCCCTTCCCAGAATTACCATGGTGACCATCACAATCCGAGTCCTCTGTCTCGAGAGCGTCGTTTATCCAATGTGGAAAAGTATGGGCGCCTTTTCTTTTTTTCATATCTCATATGTTTAAAGTCTAAAGTTAACGATATTTTAGGGATTAAATAATTATATTATTGCTCAGATATTCAACTATTTTTCTTACTGTAACTTGGCGATCTTTCAAAACAAATTGCTCAACTAAGGACACATCGGAACGACTTTACTTTACCGGTCCCCAGAAAAACGCGCTAAAATATAGTATCGCCGTAGGCGACTTCAATATATATGAGATCGCGTGAGCGATCGAAAAAAAATTAAAATATGAGGTTTTAAGCCTTTTTGACCCCAAAATCGAATTCTACGGTTAAAAGTTTAGTTTAAAACTTCGTTTTTAAACGAAGTTTTTAACCTCGTTCTCTGTAAAAAAAGTAATAAATATTGTTTATTCATTGAAAAGGAGACAAAAAATAATTGTGAACGAAGCGCGTGCGGCGCATGCTTAGTGCCGTTTCTTTCGTACTTAGCCATTTTTTCATGTAAACAAACCAACGAGATGTCGTTGAAGCTGAATTAAGATCTTGCAAAAAATACAGATGCAACTGAATTTCTTAGTTAATCTGAAAGAACAAGACACTAACCCTAATCTCTCGGATGGTATGCGAGGACTAACCCAAATCTCCCAGGCGGATGCTACAAGCATTGCTAGACCATGCTAGACTAACCCATGTGCGAGGACTAACCCTAATCTCTCGGATGGATGCGAGACTAACCCTAATCAGTCGAAAACTTATGCAAGGACTAACCCTAATCTTTCAGGTGGGTGCAAGACTAACCCTAACAAGTCGAAAAATGTGCAAAACCAACCCTAATCAGTTGAGTGACGTAAATCTTACGTCATAGTGCAATGAGCGCGCGGATCTTGCGGATCTGGGGACCGGTAAAGTAAAGTCTACCCGACACATCTTTTCACCGGCTTGCTTTCGCTGGTCAACAGAACAAATATTATTTTTAACCATCTCCCTGCCTTCATTAAAACATTCAATCCAATTAATGATTGAACTTCTGGTAAGTCTTTTGTCTTCATAAGCCTTATACAAATTATCATATATCTACTGCAAAGGAATTTCCGAGGTATACGTTAAACTTTACAGCCCTTCTTTGCTCGAGTACGACTGAGTCAACCATTTTTTGTCACAAGTGACTTACAAACTGACGTCATTTTCACATTGTGACGTCACAAACACGGAGGAAAAAATTATTTAATATCTGCTATTTATAGAACATGTGTATGACTATATGTGTGCAAAATATCACTCTGATCTGAATTGTAATTTTTTAAATATAGAGATAGTTCGCGAACTTTTTGATCACCCCTCGTACAGTTGGCTATTTTTTATTTTATTTTTTATTGTACCTCAGCAAACATTGCAGGGTGCCATGTCTCACTAAGATGACAGATGGTTGCAATGAAGATTTACAAACTAATAAATATAACAATATAATGAAAAGTACGTGTATTTTGATTTTTTTTGTTAGGTTGTGGCATAGTTTACCATTCATAAAAAAAATATATACTAGAAATGAGCAAATGAATTTTATGTGGGTATTTGACCAATATGAACAGTTCTAGTTTCTTGATAAATACATACCTCACTAAGAAGGGATGTACAGAATTTGAAACGTTAGGCATCAACTCTGTATTATCTGAGGATGGATTCAACTTTCTTTCA